AGGCAGGGTCTTGGTAGCCCATGGCCCCTCTTCCTTCTCCCATTTTTCTTCTTTTCCTCCTCCTAATAAGTTTATTTGAAAGTGAGAAAAAGCTATGAAAGAAAGTAGCGAGAGATTCTCCATTCCAGGAAGGTCCCCCCGGAGAGGAATCTATGGCCCCTTCTATGGGCATCATTTTTCTTAGTGATCCACTAATGACCAACCTGAGTTGGATGTAATACTTCCAAGAGCCTTCCAGCCTTCTGTTTTTGTTTGTTTGTTTGTTTGTTGTTGGTTGTGGGGCTGAACTCTTCAAAGGGAGCACTCTACTACTTGAGCCATAGCACCACTTCCAGTTTTCTGGTGGTTTATTGGAGATAAGAGTTTCACAGACTTTCCTGCCAGGGCTGGCTTTGAACCATGATCCTCAGATCTCAGCCTCCTGAGTAGCTAGGATTACAGGCGTGAGCCATCAGCGCTGGGCTCAGCCCTCTCTGTTTTGATGTCAAGATTATAACTCATCTGTCTGTCCTTCCTCCTTCCTGTCTTTTTCTCTTTCTTTCCTTTTTTTTTTCTGTTTTGAGGTTTAAACTCAGGGCTTTGAGCTTGTTAAGGAGCTTTACTGTTTGAACTATCCTTCTAGCCCTTTTTGCTTTAGCTATTTATGAGATAGAATTTCACTTTTTGTCCAGGCAAGCCTAGACCTCCATCCTCCTATTTTATACTTCCTTCAGTAGCTGGGATGACAGGCATACTTACTAGGCACCCTCCATGCCCAGTTTTTTTTTTTCTTTTCTTTTTCCTGTCCAGATGGGATTTTACCAACTCTTTTTTCCATACGGGCCTGAAACCAAGATCTCCCACCCTCAGCCTCCTTTGCAGCTGAAATATGGCAGGCATGAACCAGCAAGATTTTAACTTTTTGTTTTTTTAAAATTTTCATGCCAGTTCTGGCTTAAACTCAGGGGTCTGGACGCTGTCCCTAAGCTTTTTTCCTCAAGGCTAGCTTTGTATCAGTTGAGCCACACCTCTACTTCTGGCTTTTTTTGTGGTTCTTTGGAAATAAAAAGTTGTATAGGCTCAACTGTAATCCTCAGATCTCAGCCTCCTGAGTATCTAGGATCAGAGCCACTGGCACCCAGCTAGATTTTAACTTAAAACTTTTTTTTAAAAAATTGTTATTATGCCGGGCGCTGGTGGCTCACGCCTGTAATCCTAGCTACTCAGGAGGCTGAGATCTGAGGATCGCGGTTCAAAGCCAGCCCACGCAGGAGAGACCGTGAGACTCCAATCTCCAATAAACCACCAGAAAACCGGAAGTGGCGCTGTAGCTCAAGTGGTAGAGCGCTCGCTTTGAGCTGAAGAGCTGAGGGACAGCGCCCAGGCCCAGAGTTCAAGCCCCACGACCGACAAAAAATAAATAAAAAATTGTTATTATAAAGGTGATATACAAAGGGGTTTCAATTACATGAGTCAGATAAAAAGTACTTTTTTTTTTTGGACAATGTTACCCCTTCCCTGCTTTCTCCTAGTTTTCCCCTCCCATCGTCACCCACAATTGTATAGTTCATTTTCTTTCTTTCCTTTCTTTCTTTCTTTCTTTCTTTTCTTTTCTTTTCTTTTCTTTTGTCAGTCATGGGGCCTGAACTCTGGGCCTGGGCTCTGTCCCTCAGCTCTTCAGCTCAAGGCTAGCACTCTACCGTTTGAGCCACAGAGCCACTTCTGCCTTTTTCTGTTTTTATGTGGTGCTAAGGAATCGAACGCAGGGCCTCGTGCATGTAAGACAAGCACTCTACCACTGAGCCACCTGCCTAGCCCCTGTATAGTTCATTTTCAACATAGTGTCCTGTGAGTACCATTGCTGCATTTGTTCCCTTTGTTCTTCTGTGAACAAACAGAACAAAAAGGAAACAAAAATAGCAAAAAAGGAAAAAAACCTACTGTTTCATTTCAATAAATATTATTTTGTATGATCAGATGTCCTGAGCTTGAAATAAGGCCTGGATGCTGTCCCTGAGCTTTTACTCAAGGCCAACCCACTCTACCACTTGAGCCATAGTGCTACTTCCAGCTTTTTCTGAGTAGTTTATTGGAGATAAGAGTCTCATGGACTTTTCTGCCTGGTCTGGCTTTCAACTGGAATCCTCAGATATCAGTCTCCTGAGTACCTGTGATTACAGGCTTGAGCCACCAGCGACCAGCGCTTTAACTTTTAACTGGTTACGGTTTGGTGAGATCACTGATGCTACATGGTGCAACAATGGTTGCTCCTGTCCCTACAGAACGATGAGCTTCTTTGACATTGGTAAACTGTGAATTTTGGCTGTAGGCCTCTTGTTTGCATGCACAGGGCAGAGGACAGATGACCCCCACCCCCCAGCACACTTTCGGCAAAGTGGCTGGTGTCAGGAAAGCCAGATATGGTTCTCCTGGATAGGGGCTTCCTAAACATCTGAGGTTGATTCATGGGCAGGATGAGTCGGGAGCATCTGAGCCATGGTGGGAGGTGAATTGGGGTCCCTCAGATTCTCACTTTGGCTGGAGGCCCAGGGTTGCACTTGTGTGGAAGTGTCCTCTTTAGTGTGTCTGTGCTCACTGTGTCATTCAAGTTGAGAGTGTGAAGCAAATGCTTGTTGCTTCCCCTCAGATCTGAGCCTTCTGCCAGGTGGTGACCAAGTATGGGTCTTGGTTTTTGAAAGGACCGCAGGCAGCATTCCCATTAGTGAGAGCAGGTTCAGGGCCCTTCTTGCCACACCATCTCTCTTTGTTAGTAGGGGGGGAGTGTACAGTCACTACTTAGCATCTGTTGTGTGGCTCTGGGCTGGTCTTCACCCGTACTGAATATGGAACAGATTTCAGGAAGGCAGGCAGACTTGCCTTCATCCCCAGTGCCTCCTCAGAGAGAAGTCCAGTTGACTTCTGTCTAGGACAAAGGCGCCTCCTCTGTGTTGTGTTAAAGTGGCATGTTCTGTGAAGATGGTTTCTGTTCTCACTAGTAGATGCCTTGCTAAAGGGGTCTCCAAACCTGAGTATCTTCTCTGTGGTCTCCGCTTCTTCGGGTAGCTCTTCCGTAGCTTTCTTCCCAGTAGCTGTGGGAGGGTCTAATGAAGCAACTGTCTGGAGAGCAATGTTTGTTTCAACATGGTTGGTGTTGTTTTTGCTTCAGCTTTCAGAGCCAATAAAGCTGGTTATTAGATTCTGTAATTGCTGCTGTAATTACTCTCTTGGAACTGGCAAAGGCATAATTAAATATGGAGATTCCAAAGCCTGTTTTTTCCCATCCAAAAGCAACCTCTTAAACTTCTACCAGCCTGGGTTAGAGTTCCATTATTAAAGCTGTTGTGTTTACAAATGACACTGGGAGTTCCTTGGCAGGAAAGGTATTTATTTCAGGTGCCTCTTTGGATATTTGGATTAGCTGCTCGTTAACTCAGCCAATTTTGTAATACAAACAGGAATGTTGGGGGGAAATAGGCAAAACATTACAAACCAGTATGCATTTATGTAAACATTGGGTTTGGCCCTTTAGACTTTGGCTACATATAGAAGCAGGCAGTTGTCAAACATATAGTTGAAGTTGGAGCCAGTGACTCATGCCTGAAATCCTAGCTATGAAGGCTGCTGAGATCTGAGGATCGCAGTTCAGAGTCAGCCCTGACAGATAAGTGAGTGAGACTCTTATCTCCAATTCGCCACCAGAAAAGCCAGAATTGGGGCTATGGCTCAAGTGGTAGGGCACCAGACTTGAGCAAAAATGTTCAGGGACATGAGTTCAAAAGAAAAGAGAAAAGAACCAATGGAGTTAGGAATTCAACTTAAAGCACTGCTATTTTGTACCCATAATTGTACTGCATGTTGATCTGGAAAGATGAATAATGTAATTATTATTTCATTTATGGGTCTCTTGCTACCTCCTTGAGGTATCTGAGTATTTGCTTCCAGATAACTTTTCTTTTTCTTGTTGTGTGCCTTCTCCTCCGCTCCTCTTTCTTTTCCTTTTCCTCCTCCTCTTCCTCCTCCCCATCTCCCTCCCCCTCCCTGAGGCTCTTAAACTTAGGGTCTTGTGCTTTCATTTGGCTTTTTCACTCAAAGCTGGCGCTCTACCACTTGAGCCACAGCTCCACTTCAGGCTTTTTTTTTGCTGGCCAATTGAGATAAGAGTCTCAAGCCTCCTGAGTAGCTAGGAGTATAGGTGTAAGCCTCTCATGCCCAGCTCTAGTACATACCTAGTTCCAGATAATTTCTTGCTTAGGGAATTTAGAGATAGAGATGGACATCAGAAAAACTTTGGATTGGCATACAAGGAGTGGCTGCCAACTGAAGATGTATTAGAGAAAAAGAAGCATGTTGTTGACTATATAAAATCCATTTAATAAGAAAATTGCACTCAGGATACTCAAGAGCAAGTCCAGTCTGTCATCTCAGTGTTCCTGGAGAACTATCCTGGGGTCATGTACTGTCATTCTGAGCCTCTTGTGGGGAAAGGAGAGGCTGAGGTTATACAGACTAGAACACTTACCAGCAGATGACCTGGGCAACTGCTTCTCCTATTTACTCTACAACAAATGGCACTTTAATGATGCAACTGTAGTACTTAGAGCTTCCGTAGTGCTTTGGGTGTCTATTTTGCTTAATGTGCCACGTGTTTCTGTACATTATCTCATTCCTTTCTTACAATGAACCTGTCTGGGAATCTTAAGTAGCTTACCTATGTCTATGAGCTATAGTTGGACCTCAGAGTACATTCTTTCTCTGGGTGACTCCTGCTTTAATTTGGAGGAGGGGGGATTGGTTACCAGAGTCAAATTGTGTGCTTGCTTTCTGGCTACATTTTGAGATATGCAAATTTTGTATATCTTAGAAAATGGGGTGTATTATTGTATAGAAGATCATTAACTTCCTATGGTAGTGGAAGCAACATGGGTACGGGGCTGGGGGTTGTGGGGAGGCCCGGGGGCTCAATGACTACTAGGACATTGCCCTGCGTCTGGGTTTGCTGAAACTCTTTTGTTCCTCCACAGCTGCCCTTCAGGCGCTGAAGCGCAAGAAGAGGTATGAGAAACAGCTGGCGCAGATTGATGGCACCCTTTCAACCATTGAGTTCCAGCGTGAGGCCCTGGAAAATGCCAACACCAACACCGAGGTGCTCAAGAACATGGGCTACGCTGCTAAGGCCATGAAGGCTGCCCATGACAACATGTATGTATTATTGCTGGCACGGAAGGGGAAGGCGTGCTCAGCGTGGCCTGGGCAGGTCCTTTGTACCTTTCTTCTAATTTATCTTCTTTCTTGGAACTCTGTTTAAATTGGATAATGTACCTGCTGCCTTTGTTTCCAAGCAGATTTCAGGGATGAAAAATACCTTTTGCCTGATTCCAGGTTATTGTGATAGGCATAGTTTCAAGTTGGGAAAGTCAGTAGAAGGTCTTCTCACTCAGGCCTCTGGTAATAGAGACCTGTGTTCCAGAGAGAGGAGCTGATTTTCCTTGCTTACTGTGAGTGAGGGTAGGACTAGGTTTATAGAATCTACGGCCTCAACTTTCCTGATGCTGCCAGGCCCCCGTGTGTACACTGTATCCTAGGGCTCTGGAGCTTTTTTTTTTTTAGTTTTTTTTTGTTTGTTTGTTTTTGGCCATAGGGCTTGAACTCAGGGCCTGGGCACCGTCTCTGATCTCTTTTGCTCAAGGCTTAGCACTCTTATCACTTTGAGCCACAATGCCACTTCGGTTTTCTGGTGGTTAATTGGAGATAAGAGGCTCAGAGTCTGGCTTTGAACTGAGATCCTCAGATTTCAGCCTCCTAAATAGCTAGGATTACAGGCATGAGCCACCAGTGCCCAGCAAGTTTTGGTTTTTGACACTGGGTCTTACTATATATAGAGAGCTCAGGCTGGCCTTGAAATCACAGTCCTCCTGCCTCAGCCTTCGGAGTACTGGGATACAGCTACCAGTGTGATTTATTTATTTATTTGTTTGTTTATTTATTTATTGCTGGTCTTGGGGCTTGAAATCAAGGCCTCGCTCTGCCTGAACCTGTCTGTGCTCACAGCTAGTGCTCTACCACTTGAATCACAGCACCATTTCTGGCCTTTTCTGTTTATGTGATACTGAGGAATCAAATCCACCCAGGGCTTCATGCATGCTAGGCAAGTACTCTACCACAAAGCCACATTCCCAGCCCGTTGTATTTTTATTTTTGTCAGTTGTTGGAGCTTGAACTCTAGGCCTGGGCACTGTCTCTGAGCTCTTCAGCTCAAGGCTAGTGCTCTACCACTTGAGCACACAGTGCCACTTCCGGTTTATTGGAGATGAGAGTCTCATGGACTTTCATCTGGGCTGGCTTTGAACTGTGATCCTCAGATCTCAGCCTCCTGAGAAGCTAGGATTATAGGTATGAGCTACTGGTACCCAGCTTTGGTTTTTTTTTTTAATTTTGTTTTTTGGTTTTTTTTTTGGGTCTGGTTGCGGGGCCTGAACTCTGGGCCTGGGCACTGTCCCTCAGCTCTTCAGCTCAAGACTAGCGCTCTACCACTTGAGCCACAGCACTATTTCCGGCTTTTTTCTTTTTGCTTATGTGGTGCTGAGGAATGGAACCCAGGGCCTCAGGCATGCAAGGCAAGTGCTCTACCACTGAGCCACCTTTCCAGCCCCTGTATTTGTTTTTGATGGAAGTTTCTGCCACTGTCTTTGCTCTCTGGTTGTGGCTGTCCTATTGGCTATGCCTTTGCCCTTAGCCTTCTCCTTCCTCTATGTGGCTGCTTCTTATGTTAGTGGCCTTAGAGCTACATAACAATACTGGTTACGATGGGAATTCATGGCCAAGTAACTGAGCTGTAAATGAGCACTTTCCCATAAACAAATTTTTTGTTTGGCTTAGTTCTTAAATTAGTAACCTGTATTTAGGGGTGCCTAGAGCCCATCTTGCTTCTTTTTTAGTTACCAAGGCTGTGCTATAGAACAGGGGTTGGCAAAAATGCAGCCTGTTGGCCTTCCACAGTCATGCCCTTAATTTACCATTAAGCAGGGTTGAGTATTTATAACAGACTGTATAAAATAATTACAGAAAAGTTGCTTCCTGCTGTAGAAAATTGAGCTTGCAGGAAGAGCGTCTTCACATAGGGAGGTCTGTCTGAGGGTGGATATTCATTGGGCTGAATTGTGTGGACAAGGGCTGCGTCTGCTTCATTTATGTCTCTTCCCAGACCCCTAGCACAGAGCACAGTAAATCCCATGCGTGGTTTGCAGATTATGCATGGTGTGCAGATTATGGTGAGCAAATTCTATGTTTTTTGTTTTTTTGCCAGGCCTGGGGCTTGAACTCAAGGCCTGGGTACTGTCCCTGAGATTCTGTTGCTTAAGGCTAGCTCTCTACCACTTGAGTCACAGCACCACTTCTGCTTTTTTCTGTTTATGTGGTACTGAGGAATCGAACCCAGGGCTTCATACATACTAGGCAAGTACTCTACCACTAAGCCACATTCCCAGCTCCCAAATTGTACGTTTGTATGATTGACACTGTACTAAAAAGTTTATCTATTTGTCTTTCCTTTGGGGCTTCCTAGAAGCCATAGTGGATTGAGCAGAGGGGAAGAGCATTTCAGGTGACTTTCCTGTGTTTTGTGATTTTTACATGCCTGTACAGAATTACATTTGGACAGTACAAATGCTACAGTCTAATCTGACATTTACTTATTTTTTTGTGGGACTTTGATCAGGTGCCCAAGTTTTATTTCCTCAGAGTATTGAACTGGATAATCTCTGGACACTTCCATCTGCTTGATTCTGCAATTCTTTGTTTTTAAGGGGAGGATAAAATAGTAATGACAATTGATTAGTCACAGGGGGAATTATAGTAGGGGTAGGACTAGGAAGCTGATTGTATGGAGTGGGGCTGCCACTGCCTGGAAGACCCTGTTACCCAGACCAATCAACTGATATGACAGTCTGTTTGTTTCATTTCAAGGGACATCGATAAAGTTGATGAGTTAATGCAGGACATTGCTGACCAGCAGGAACTTGCAGAAGAGATTTCCACGGCTATTTCCAAACCTGTAGGCTTTGGAGAGGAGTTTGATGAGGTGAGTGGCTTCATACATACAGATGGCATAGGCCTTACTGGTGGCAACCAGACTGTCTCTTGATATGTAACTAAAGGCTCTCAGGTGGGAAGACAGTGTCATCCATTCTTACCCCTCCAGACTCGGATAGAGACAGGATCTGGCCTTCACCTCCCTAAGTTCTAGATTTTGAAGGCTGCTGTCACAGTAGGGCAGGTCAAGTAAAGGAGCCTGCAGGTCAATAAGCAGTGGCCCCATGCCTTCCCATGGTGGGCCTTGGGCCCAGAGTTGGGGCAGCAGAAGTGGCCATGCCCTGGAGACATTTGCATGATTTTCCTGCAGAAGCTCTTTGTGAGGTAAAGGAGAAGCCAAGGAAGGAGTACTTACACCACAGCTCTGAGGGATCCTTCCAGGGCTTGGCCACTACCAGTTGCCACTGTAGTGATTTGAGACCTTGAGCTTCTTGGGTTTTTGAAATGCAAGAGCAGCCCCTAGTGCCCCTAGTGAAAGTGCTTGTTAGCAAACGTTCGATGTGAGCCCCTGAAGGCCAGCTCCACGCCACTGAACCGCTCTGTGCTCTGGCTCCCATCAGGAAGCTGCAAATCAGCATGCACCCTTACTCCCAGCTCCATGCTTTTCATGGTTTCTGGCAAGTTAGATGGATTAATCATGCTAACTTCAGTTCATCGAGAATTCCCAAGCATTCCCTCAGCTATCCAGCACTGAGGTAAAGAAATGGGTCTGAAAAGATACCTCCTTCTCCCAGCATGTTCTGTCTAGCACAGGACCCTTAGACACACACATGCATCAATATCTGCTACGGTGTGTGGTGTTCATTGGTACAAATGTGTTTTGAAGAGTATGAACCCTAGAGTTCACTTCCTTTTGACCATCTCCAAACTGGGGTTCACTGAGCATCATGTCGGAGGGGCCAGGACTCCCAAGACAGACTTCTCACTACTTCCATTTACAGGATGAACTCATGGCAGAATTAGAAGAACTAGAACAGGAGGAGCTAGACAAGAATTTGCTGGATATCAGTGGACCCGAAACAGTCCCACTACCAAATGTTCCCTCTATAGCCCTACCATCGAAACCTGGTGAGTACTCCCTTCAAACTTTGTTCACCTGGCATACACCCAGGGCTAATTCTGCCTTTGGTCCTGAGCTTGTGTGGGGCTGCAAACATGTGGGATGTTTGGGATAGCCACAGTGACAATGTCATCTGTCCTTTCCTAGTTTTCTCTGGAACAAAGTGTCATAACCTCAGCACTATTGATATGGACAGATGATGCTGGAGGGCTGTCCTGTGTACTGTGGGGCTTAGCAGCAGCCCTGGCCTCTCCCCACTAGGTACCCACAATAACCAAACTCCTTGAGTTTTGAGAACCAAACGTGTCACTGTGTGTGTGTGTGTGTGTGTGAGAAATATGTGTTTCCCTCCAGGTATTTTGGAAGGTATGAAGATTTGGGTCTAAGATAGCTCTGGCCCTATCTGGTAACTTGTGCTATACACACCTGCAAACCCTAGGCAATAGAACGGCCTTGGGGTGGGAGGCAGGGGAGGAAGCAGCTCTCCTAGCAATTGTTTTCATAAAACCATCATTCCCTCTCCCTCTCCTGGTAAAAGTATTCTATGTAGCATTTCTAGGAAAGGAGAATGCTAATAAGCAGCTGATTTGGTGTGGTGAGGGAGCCCAGGGAGTTGTGGGTGGCAGGGTTGTAGTCCGCTCCCTCGCCCAGGTGTAATGAGGGCCCAGACTTGGTCAGCTGCCTGGAGCAGCAGAGGGCACCGGCTACCAGCAAGCAGCCTGGCATGTACAAAGGCCATTCAAGTCACATGAGGTAGAGCGGGGGGCTTGGTTCTTTCCCTTTTCCTCTACCTTGAGTGCTGTGGGGTTGAGGCTGAATGGGAA